GCCGCAGCTCTCTCTCTCTCACACACACACACACACACACACACACAGCCGAGCTCTCGCGCAGCCGCTCGGTCTGTCGGTCGCGGAGCGCTGTCCACGCGGCGGCGAGAGGAGACGGCAGGTGTCACACTCGCTTCTGATAAGCCCTGCGCACAGCTTCCTCCTTAAAAACAGCTAATCGATCCATTCGGATGATACAGGCAGACAAGACGCGCGCGCGCTTTGCCCCAAAAGCGCATTAATTGCAGACGGATTTGTATCGCATTTGTTTGCCGGTGAGTATCTTGCATCTCCTCATCCAGGACGCTTATAATTAGTCTGTCGCATGCATCACAGGCTTTAGCACTGCATGTTCATGTTGATGCCTCCGCGCTTTGATGCACATCTAAAGCTTCCATGTTAAGTTGCATGCATCTGCTGTGCCGGCAGTTATTCTCTCCACGGTGTGCATTAAAAAAAAAAGCAACGTGTTCTCTTGTTGTATGTGTGGCCTGCGTGTTTTAAATGCTAGTGTGCGTAAGAGAGAGACTCCTTCTGCTTTATATGGAGGACGAGGTGCTCTTGAAAAGCTTCTGGGCTCTATTTTGGAAGGAAGAAAGCACCAGCCGAAGCCTTTTGAGAGAGTGCAGTGTCTCCCAGCCATCCTGTTGTCATGGTTACTGCACTGGGAGGCTGGGGATAATATGGCTGCGATTCAGGCTCTCTGTGTATTTATATGTGTGTGTGTGTGTGTGTGTTTTACTCCAAGATGTCTTAAAAACACAAGGACCCCACTGTATGTTTTAGACAGAGCCTGTGTTTAATGTAATAAGCTTTGGTGCTTTAAACTGCTGTGTTTGATTAATTTTGTTTGCTTTAATAGAATAGGCTACTGTATAAATGCAAATTAAGATGCATATTGGCTCATTATAAACATGCGCGTTAGATTTCGCAATACACACGTTAAAATAACGCATGCTGTTAATCTCAGACCCTGCAATGCAATGAAACTTCACTGCTCCATGATCTATTGTTATCCCAATTATCAAATACAGGCGTCAGACAAACAGACATCCCAGTGCCAGACGAGACACAAGACGCCCTGAATGATGACTTGTTCTCCATCTACCTGTTATAAAGGTGTGCGAGCGCGCGCGCGTCAGCCTGATGCTGCTGAGCGGATGCGTTTAATGAGATTTCCATCCCTGGGAAGATTTGAGTGAAGACATTGTAAGTGATCCTCTGACATGATACAATAGGACGTCTGACCTTGACAGCAGTGGAAGTGACAGAACGAGGTGATTTAAATCAGATTTACGCACGGCTCAGTTGTTCATACTCGTTTAGTTGGTGGCGGCGGTCTCCTTCACAGGACCCCCGACGTGTCATTCAGTCTGCACTTGCTCCGTCATCTTGAAGCCTGTATTTGAGATGTAACCCGTTATGCATAGAAAAACAGTATATTACGCAGCCGGCTGTATGTGGGTGAGGTAGACAACATCGATATATTTAGCGCACTGCAGCTCCCGAGAGAGTTAAATCCGCGTGCTGATCATTTGTAATGGTCAGTCTTTGTGTGTGTATGTGTGTGTGTGTGCGCGCGCCCGCGTCTGAAGAGGGTTAGTGGGTCACGCAGACGTCCAGTATCCAGACTGCAAAGAGATGGAGATGGAGATGCAGTGTGATTGTGATACAGTGACTCTCTTTTGTGTTAATAGCACGAGACAGGTAGATCGGGTAGTCTGACCTGCGTTGTCTGGATGAAAATACCTCATATTTGTATAGAAAAAATAACATAATTATATAAGAATCCCTGATAAATATTGCTATAAACAATTTTGTTTGTTGTTTGACGTAGCAAGGTAATTTTCCAGCATTTCTTTATATTTATGTCTTATTTCTTCAACTTTAACCTAATTAACCTCCTTGAAAAAGCACTTAAAACTAAATACTAGTATCTAGCATAATAACTAGTCAGTTTGTTCTGTTATCATGGCAAAAACTAACATTTTTAAATAAATATTCAAATATTTCCCAGGTGCTGTTTAACAGAGCAGTACATTTTTAAAAAAAATAGTCTTTGGGACGAGGCAGTGGCGCAGTAGGTAGTCGCAAGAAGGTCGCTGAGTCACTGGTTTAAACCTCGGCTCAGTTGGTGTTTCTGTGTGGAGTTTGCATGTTCTCCCTGCCTTCGTGTGGGTTTCCTACGGGTGCTCCGGTTTCCCCCACAGTCCAAAGACATGCGGTACAGGTGAATTGGGTAGGCTAAATTGTCCGTAGTGTATGAATGTGTGTGTGAATGTGTGTGTGGATGTTTCCCAGAGATGGGTTGCGGCTGGAAGGGCATCCGCTGTGTAAAAACTTGCTGGATAAGTTGGCGGTTCATTCCGCTGTATAGACCCCGGATTAATAAAGGGACTAAGCCGACAAGAAAATGAATGAATGAGTAATAGTCTTTGCCATGATAACAGAACAGACAATTTGAGTTATTTTGCTAGATACAATATTTAGTTATCTCACTAGAGGATTTTGACTTAACTGTAGATGGATAGTTATACAAAGCAGAGGTGTACATTCATTCATTCATTTTCTTTTCGGCTTAGGCCCTTTATTAATCTGGGGTCGCCACAGCAGAATGAACTGCCAACTTATCCAGCATATGTTTTACGCAGCGGATGCCCTTCTAAACATGCATACACACTTATTCACACTCACACACTACTGACAACATAGACTACCCAATTCACCTGTACCACATGTTTTTGAATTGTGGGGGAAACCAGAGCACCCGGAGGAAACCAATGCGAACGCAGGGAGAACATGCAAACTCCACACAGAAACGTCAACTGACCCAGCCAAGGCTCGAACCAGAGACCTTCTTGCTGTGAGGCGACAGCACTACCTAATGCACCAATGCGTTGCCTGTACCAAAACATTACATTGAAATACCAACACAATCTCACGGCAATTCGTAACTTTTTCATTTAGTGGCTAATTCGTATGAATTCGTACGATCTAATTCGTACAATTTAGTACGATTTGCTTATCCCCCAATGATGGTTGGGGTTAGGGGTGGGGTCAGGTGCCACGCCTCCTTTTTAAAATCGTACCATTTCGTACGACTGAACTCGTACGAATTCGTACGAATTAGCCACTAAACTGGCAAAACGTAAAATACTTACGTTTTCTCGTGAGATCAGGCTGGAAATACTGTTATAATCTAATTAGTGTTGATGTAAACAGTAATTCATAAAATATTATTAAAGCCAAGAATCATCTTACTGTTATGGTAATATCATTATAAACTCACCTTCATGTTGTTTCAAAAACACACAAGACCTACACTCACTTGCAACTTTATCAGGTACACCTGACTAGTACCAGGTTGGACCCTCGTTTGCCTTCAGAACTGCCCTAAGCCTTCGTGGCAAATATTTAACAAGGCACTGGCAATATTCCTCAGAGATTTTGGTTCATATTGACATGATAGCATCATGCAGTTGCTGTAAATTTGTCGGCTGCACATCCATGATGCCAATCTCCCGTTCCTCCACATCCCAAAGGTTCTCTATTGGATTAAGGTCTGGTCACTGTGGAGGCCATTCGAGAGCAGTAAACTCATTGTCATGTTCAAGAAATTAGTCTGAGATGATTCACGCTTTATGACACGGTGCGTTATCCTGCTGGAAGTAGCCATCAGAAGATGGGTACACTGTGGTCATAACGGGATAGACATGGTCAGCAACAATATCTAGGTAGGCTGTGGCGTTGACACGATGCTCAATTGGTACTAATGGGCCCAAATTGTGCCAAGAAAATATCCCCCACCCCATTACACAACCACCACCAGCCTGAACTGTTGATACAATACAGGATGGCTCCCGCCGCTCACTGGATATTTCCTCTTTTTTTTCAGACCATTCTCTGTAAACCCTAGAGATTGTGCATGAAAATCCCAGTAGATCAGCAGTTTCTGAAATACTCAGACCAGCATGTCTGGCACCAACAATTATGCCACATTCAAAGTCACTTAAATCACATTTCTTCCCCATTCTGATGCTCGGTTTGAACTGCCGCATATTGTCTTGACCATGTCTACATGCCTTAATGAATTGAGTTTGCCTCCATGTGATTGGCTGATTAGAAATTTGCGTTAACAAGCGGTTAGACAGGTGTACCTAATAAAGTAGCCGGAGAATTTATATTTACTCATCTTCAAACCACAAATAACTTCTGTGCGCCCATTTCAAGTCTGTTCCACTAAATTTCAGTCCATTCAAAAGAGAAAAATCTGTTTAATGATTGTTTGTACTGTCTATTCCAAATTAACGTCTGCTGATGAGACTCAATGGCTTTATATAATGACAGATTTGCAGCGCAGATCATTACGTTCCTAATAAGAAGGTTATTAACTAGGGATGTAACGGTGTTGTAAATACAGTCATACCACAATATTAATTTTTTTCGATATTACTGTAGTCGCATGACTCGGTAAAACTATAGGTCTTCTGAGAAAATTTGCTCAGGCGAATGAAGCGAACGGGAGGTACCGGAAACTACAATTCCCATCAGCCCAGGCTTGGCCATAATCCCTTGCGGTCTGTTGTCGCTACAGATCCAGTAATGCGGAAATGGAGTGTGCTGCTAGAAGCGGGGATCAAAAAGAGCTGGAAAACCTTAAAGCGGGTGTTGTCGCCGCGCGCGTACTGAATAGTGGTGTTGTCGCACGAGTTCTTATCAGCTGTGTTGTCGCGCGCGTACTGAATAGCGGTGTTGTCACGCGAGTTCTTATCAGCTGTGTTGTCGCGCGAGTTCTTATCAGCTGTGTTGTCGCGCGCGTACTGTAAAGCGGGGACGGAGGGTATGTCGCGTCGCGGGGGCACTTTTGATCATTTTGGAAGGGAACTTTCTATCCAAGACTAAAAAGGGCATGTGCACTGCACAGGTTGAGCCCTGTGTGTGCACGTGCCTGCAAGTTGAGGAATACGACTAATAATCAGTCATGGGGACTGCAGAAACACAGCACACTGTTCAGATTGATGCAGACATGAGATCTCTATCTCACTCATGGTTTGTCCTCTCAAGTGGGGGAAAGACAATGCACAACGTTACCCACTGCTGTCAACCTGGGCCAAGTCATATCTCTCTTGTCCCAGAAACCTCAGTCCCAAATGAGAGGGGTTTTTTCTGTTGCAGGGGACATTGTAAATACCCAGAGATACCAGCTTTTACCAGATTATATTTATATGATAATTTTCCTTTAAACCCATCTCTATCTAAGTGAGTGAGTGATTAA